GCATCTTAATACAAGCATTCATTTTTGCTGCTGCTGCTGCTTCTCCCTGCTGCTGCTGCTGCTGCAGCAGCACCTGCTGCTGCTGCTCCTGCTGCTGCTGCTGCTCTAATAAATAAAGAGACAGTTGCTCTCGCAGCATATTTGTTAAACTTTCTTCGCTCTCTCTGCTGCTGCTCAGCAAATTTACAAACACCAAATTGTCTCCGTAGCGACGGTGCAGCATTTGCTGCACGCAGCAGCAGCAGCAGCAGCAGCAGCAGCAAATAAATAAATAAATAAATATAAATAGATAGATATATTAATATATTAATATATAGATATTAGAAGGCGGAGTAATAAATCAATGAACACACAAACAAGCAGAGCAGCATATTAAATGAATTAAAATAAATAAATAAATAATAAATAAATAAATATGTGTTAATAAATATACAAACGAACAAATAAAATAAACAAATAAACAGCAAAATGAAGCTCTACTGAGGCAAAGGGAAGCAGACAAAGCAAAAAAAAAATCAAGCAGCAACAGCAGCAGCAAAAAGAGCAGCAGCAACACGATAAAGAGCAACAACAGCAGCAGCAACAGCACCTCCCAACAGAAGCAGCAAAAGCAGCAGCAACAACAGCAGCAGCAACAGCAGCAGCAGCAACAGCACCACCGCGAGAACCAGCAGCACTACTAAAACCGCGTGAACAGCAGCAGCAGCGTCAGCGTCAGCAGCGTCAGCAGCAGCAGCAGCAGCAGCAGCAGCAGCAAGAGAGTATATTGCTTACGATATGTTTCTCAAAAGCAAGAGCAGTAAGAAACGCATTTCTATTTATTGTTGTCTGCGCTGTTATCCCGCCTTGACCCCAGAAGAGCGGCACAGAGCCCCGCACCTGCAGCATCGATATCCAGTGTCCGAAGCAGCAGCCTTTGCTGCACAACACACCATCTCCTGCTGCTGCTGCTGCTGCTGCTGATGGTGATGTGGAGGAGGCTGATGTACACGCGAAGGGCACAGAGGGAGCTATACGCTCGTAATGTGGATAGCTGCTGCTGCTGCTGCTGCTGCTGTTGCTGCTGCTGCTGTCGGCGCTGCTGCTATAGCGGTGGCGACGACGATTGTTGCTGCTGCTCGCCCTGTTGCTGCTGCTGCTGCTGCTGCTGCTGCTGCTGCTGCTGCTGCTGCTGCTGGTGTATACATCGAGCTGCGTTAGGCGGACGCGCTGTTCGCTCTCTACGAAATTCGCCACCTGCAGCGACGAACAAAACAAATTTAAGAAATAAAAAAATATTTTCTTTATCAAATCTATTATTATTATATATATAGATAGCTAGCTACACGAACAGCTAGCTAGCTAGCTAGCTAGCTAGAGAAACAGCTAGCTAGCTAGCTAGCTACGCAAACAACACAGGAAGAAGAGTGCTAATAATAATAATAATAGTAATAATAATAATAATAATAATGTCAATAATAAGGAGAATAAGAGTAGTAAGAAGAAGAATAAGAGTAGAAGTTAGAACAATAAGAACAACAATAATAACAATAACAATAATAAGAATAATAACAATAATAATAAATAATAGTAACAATAACAATAAATAATAATAATAGCAATAATAATAACAATAAATAATAATAATAATAATAGCAATAAATAATAAAATAATAATAGCAATAATAGATAATAATAATAAAAATAATAATCATAATAATAACAATAACAATAAATAATAACAATAATAACATAATAATAATAATAATAATAATAAATAACAATAATAATAATAATAAATAATAACAATAAATAATAATAAAAATAATAGTAATAGAAAGAGGAGTTGTTTGTACATGACCATCGTCATCGATGCCTCGCGCGTTATATCGGGTGCCGCCCCTTTTGCTGCTGCGTCGGCAGAGCAGCAGCAACTCTAAAGACAAGACCTTGAAAGGAGAGCGCAGCACAACGGGGCTGCTGCAGCTGCTGCATGCACGTTCAAGTCGTGCATATCCTATATATCCTGTAAGCAAATCCATATACATCTTAATTGTTCACATATACAAATAAATATATCTATCTTCTTCACGATATGTTAAACATAAATATAATCAACAGATACAACAGCACATGCTGCAGCAATAATAAACGCAGCAGCAGCACCAACAGCAATCGCAACTGCAGCACCAACAGCAATCGCATCAGCTGCAGCAATAGCATCAGTAATAGCAACAGCAGCAGCAACAACAACAACAGCAGCAGCATGTTCCGCATCCGCAACAGCAGCAACAACAACAACAACAACAACAACAACAGCAGCAGCAGCAGCAGCAGCAGGAACAGCAGCAGCAGCAGGAGCAGCAGCAGGAACAGCAGCAGCAGCAGGAGCAGCAGCAGGAACAGCAATAACAGTGTTGAATATACCCTGAATGAGGGGCACCGTCCACCTGGGATCGAGTTGGGATCGTCTCCAGTCGGTGAGAAGTGCACCGTTCCACACGAAGTGCGTGTCTGCTGCAGCAGCAAAAGAGAAGCCTGTCCAAGTAGAGTGCTGCAGCAGCAATTTATCTCTTGCTGCAGCATCTATACACCCGAAGCTACAGTCCGGAAAAGACGGAAGAGACTGCTTGCAGCGAGGCAAAGACAGAGCGCTCTGCTGCTGAAGACAGCGAGTAAGCTCAACATCGTAGCTAAAGTAGTATCCTGACGACAGCAGCTTCTCTAGTGCTGCTGTATATCGCTGCACCTCTCCCTCTGAACATCCATACCCTCCTCTCCCTCCTGCTGCTGCCGCTGCTGCTCCTGCTCCTGCTGCTCCTGCTGCTGTTCTTGACCCGCCGTACACCTCCCGCTGCTGCTGCTGCTGCTGCTGCTGCTGCTGCTGCTGCTGCTGCTGATGTGGGGCAGCAGACCAGCTGTGGCTGTGGGGTCGTCCTTCTCCCTCTACTTCATCTCTTTTAAACTCTACAACACGACGACCCCTATTGCTGCTGCTGCTGCTGCTGCTGCTGCTGCTGCTGTTGGGTGGGGGAGAGTTGTGGCTGCTGGGGTGCTCCGAAGCCGTCCCCCACTGGTATTCGCTGTTGCTGTTGCTGCTGCTGCTGCTGCTGCTGCTGCTGGTGTCGTCTGAAGCAAGCAGCAGCTGCGCTTGCTGCTGCACCCAGGCAGCAACTGTCTCCGAGCTGCTTCCTCCTCCTTCTACTGGGCCCCAAGGTGTATGTACACCTAAAGCATCAGCAGCAGCAGCCATCATCCCGCCCCAAGCTCTCGCAAGGGCGCTGCTTAGCGGAGTCTCTTCTTCTGTCTCCTCTACAGAGCTCATTGCACGCATTAACCCCTCACCCTGCTGCTGCTGCTGCTGCTGCTGCTGCGGAGCCAGGCATGGGTCTGCTGCTGCTGCTGCTGCTGCTGAAGGGGAGTCACGGGAATGCTCCGAGGGCCCCAACTGCAGCAGCTGCTGCAGCGGCATCTCTTGAGGGCTTCCAGAGACACCAGATGAACTCTGCTGCTGCTGCTGCTGCTGCTTCTTTTGCTGCTGCTGCTGCTGCTGCTGCTGCTGCTGCTCCAGGTGCTCCTGCAGCGAGCCTGGAGGATAGATTTCTTCTTCTTGAATTACTGCAGCGGGTTCTGCTGCGGCAACAACAACTAAAAACCTTCTTGCTGCTATAATCAGAGTCCCCAAGACAGCTTCACAATCAAAGTAAAACTGAAACAAACCAAAAGAAGCAGGAGGAGCTGCTGCTGCTGCTGCTGCTGCTGCTGCTTCTCTCGCTGCTGCTGCTGCTGCTGCAGAAGAGGGAGAAGAAGGCGAGATGTCTGAAGATCGCTTCGCAGTCCCCACAGCAGCAGGCATTGCTGCTGCTGCTGCTGCTGCTGCTGCTGCTGCAGCTGCAGCTGCAGCGGGAGTAGGAGGTGCAGCAGCAGCAGTAGCAGCAGCAGCAGGTGCAGCAGCAGGAGGAGCATTGAAGTGGGCTCGTAGGAAGCCTCTTCGCGGCAGCAGCTGCTGCTGCAGCTCTCCTGTCTCTCTATTGATAAAGAGACAAGGTAAGAAGGAAGGAGGATGAAAGCCTGCAGCATAAACCCACATGCTCGGGGCGGGCAGCAGCAGCAGCACTCGGGTGTACAGACACAGACGCCAGCGCTTCGTGTAGGGGTTCGAAGCACCTGGAGGCAGCAGCGTATGTATATAATCCTGTGAAACACCGACAGAGCTGCTGTTGCTGCTGCTGCTGTTGTTGTTGTTGTTGCTGCTGCTGCTGGGGGGTGCAGCAGGCTGCTCTTGCGCTGCGGTGCCTGGCTGCTGCTGCTGCTGTTGCTGCTGCTGTGGGTTGAGGGCTATCTCGAGTGCGCTGCTGCTGCTGCTGCTGCTGCTGCTGCTGTTTTGTCTGCTGGTTGCTGCATTTGCTGCAGGTTTAGAAGAGAGGGAAGGCAGCAAAGGATGTACAGCTACTTTAAATGCTGCTAATGAGCTGCCGCTGCCTCCAGGTGTATTGACACCTCGTGCATGCGCTGTCTCAGCATCAGCAGCAGCAGCAGCAGCAGCAGCACCAGTAGCAGCAGGTGCTGCTGCTGATCCTTCTGCTGCTGCTGTTGCTTCTTTTGCTGCTGCTGTTGCTTCTTTTGCTGCTGCTGTTGCTGCTTGATCAGGCCTTGCTGCAGCAGACAGGCATAGAAAATCCTCCGGTGTGCTGCTGACTGAAGCAGCAGAAGCTGCTGCTGCTGCTGCTGTTTCTGCTGCTGCTGCTGCTGCTGCTTCTATTTCTGTTTCTGCCAGTGTAGCCTGTCCTGAGTCTCGTGCTGCTTCTGCAGCAGTTCCAGCTGCTGCTGCAGCAGTTGCTGCTGCTGCTGCAGTTGCTGCTGCATTTGCTGCTGCAGCTTCGCTGTCTGTAGGGTTGCGAGGCGATGTGGGTTTATACATTTTTTGTTTTTTTCTTGCTTTTACTGAGGCCCTAAGGGTAATATATATATAATATATAATATGTATAATATATATAATATATATATTATATATATAATATATATTTTATATATTATATATATAATAATAATAAACTCTTTTGTTTATTATTTTTCTTTAGGGCGTCAAACTAATTGCTTCGAGCATCTGCTGCTGCTGCTGCAGCAGAGACACCCGAATGCATGCACCCACGGCCAAGTTGCTGCATGCAGCAGCAGCAGCAGCAGCAGCAGCCCCTCATGCACACAAACAAACCCCTGCAGCAGCAACTGCATGCATCAGCACAAATAAAAACCAGAACGACAAACTGCTGCTGGTACAACTGCTGTTGCTGCTGCTGTTGCTGCTGCTGCTGCTGCTGCTGTTGCTGCTGTCGTTCCTGCTGCTGCTCGTTTTCCTGCTGCTGCTGCTGCTTGTGCTGCTGCTGTTGCAGAGGCGCCTCCTGCCGCTGCAGTACCTTCTGTGCTGCTGCGCCGCAGCATAAAAGCCCCTCTTCCGCCCCAGGAAATGCTGCTGCAAATGCTGCTGCTACTCGTTTTGCTGCTGCTGCTGCTGCTGCTGGTACAGCTGCTGCTGCTGCTGTTAGTCCTGCTGCGGTTGATGCTGCAACTGTTGCTGCTTCAGCTTCTGCTACATGCGTTAATGCTAGTGCTTCTGCGATGTGTCAACTGTCTTGCTGCTGTGTTGAGGCTCCTCTTTGGCTGGTTGCTGCTGCTGCAGCAGCAGCAGCAGCAGCAGTTGCTGCAGCTGCCTGCGGGTAGCTGGAGTTATAGATGCAGCTGCAGCAGCAGCAGCTGCTGCTGCTGCTGCCGCTGCTTGTGCTGCTGCTGCGAGGCTTCAGTTGAGAAGCTGTAGGCAGCGCTTGCTGCTGCTGCTGCTGCTGCTGCTCCTTCGGTGTTTGTGCTGCACGTCGCCCTCTCTGTAAATAGATAAGTTTTTAAATAGATTGAGAAGAAGAAAAGAGAGAATAAAAAGAAAGAAATAAATAATAAACACAGTCTTCCTAGTTGCAGTAGCAGCAAACGAAGAGGGCTGCTGTTGCTGCTGTAGCTGCTGCTGCTGCTGCTGCTGCTGCTGCTGCTGCTGGAGCGGCTGGATCGGTGATGCTGCTTACGAGCAGCAGCAGAAACTGCTGCAATAAGTAGAATTAAGTGTATAAATACAATTTAATGCCTTTAAATTAATTATATTTATTTATATGTGAAAATATATTAAAACAACAGCTCAGGCTTCTTCTGCAGCAAACAGCACACTGGGGCTTTGGTTGTAAATACACCGCAGCAACTGCTGCTAATACATGCAGCAAAATAAAAGAAATAAATAAATAAATATATTTATTTTAATACTATTAATCAAAGACAACAACAATATTTATTATTATTTATTTACTTTAGACTCAAGCCTCTGTTCTTCTCTCCTTTTACTGCTCGTGTCTTCGGGTGTCTGTACACCGCAAATCTTAGGAAATAAATTCAGCTAGAAAAGATTTAATATTTTAATAAATATATTCTTTTGTCTTTACTCATCTTCATCTTCACCCAACAAGTACCCTCAGACAACACACCAAGCTCTTTTTACTTTGCTTCTTCTCTTTTGTTTGTGTGTCTTTGCTGCAGCAGCAGCAGCAAGAACAACAACAGCAGCAGCAGCAGCTCCTGCTGCTGCTGCTGCTGGTCCTTCAACAACACCCTGATAATACTGTCGCCGTTGCAGCAACCTTTCCTGCTGCTGCAACAGCGGCTGCTACTCCTGCTGCTGCTGCTGTTGCTGCTGCTGCTGCTGTTCCGGGGAGCTGGCTGTCGTTGTTGCAGCAGCAGCAAAAGCAACAGCAGCAGCAACAATAACAGCAGCATCAGCGAGAGCAGAGGCATTGCATACACCTTCTGCGACTGCAGCAGGTGATATCAGGGGCTCGAGCCTCAAAAAACAGAAACAGCAGCAGCAGCAGCAGCAGCAGCTGCTGCTGCTGCTGCTTTGTCTTTTTTGTGTTTTTCTTTTTCTTTGTCAATTGGCTTTAGTTGTTTGTAATGCGGTCATCGATTTTTTTGTTTCTGTCTTCATTTATAACAAACAACAACAAATACTCTTCCTGGGAAGCTGAGGCCTGCATGCGCAGCAGCAGCAGCAGCAGCAGCACACAGCACGCAGCAGCAGCAACAGCCTAGCTAAGCGCAGCAGCCTCAGCAAGAGCTGTTTTTTCTGCTGCAGCAGCAGCAGAAGGAGGCTGAGAAGCTGCTATCGAAGTGGTGAGAGCAGCAGCAATGTCGGGTATATTGCTGCTGCTGTGCTGCTGCGCTGCTGTAGCTGCATTTGCTGCTTGGCTGCTGTTTTTTGTTGCTGCTGCTGCTTTTGGTTTCGATGCTGGAGACTGTCTCTCTCTATCGTGGGTCTCACGACCCCTGCTGCTGCTGCTGCGCTCGCGGAGCAGTAGCAGCTGCTGCTGGCGGCGTCAAAAGCAGCAGCAGCTGCAGCAGCAGCAACAGCAGCAGCTGCTGCTGCAGCATCAGCAACCCGTGCAGCATCAGCAACACATGCAGCATCAGCAACAAGCACAGCAGCAG